TCGTAATTTTTGTATTATTTTAGTAGAGACAGGGTTTCGCCCTCTTGGCCAGGGCTGGTCTTTGAACTGCCTGACCTCATGATTTCACCGCGGACCCTTGGGCAGTAGATTTTTAAGGAACCACAGTATCTGATAGGCTTAAAAGTTAGATGAAAAGCTATCTACTGGTTACTGTTGCTTGGTAAAAATCTGCCGTTTATCCAAGATGCCTAAACTGAGTTGCGTCTGTGTAGGGTAAACACACTGATGGTTAACCTTGAATTCATGTGAAAGCAAAGCTTGTATAAGGTGCTGCGAACTTAGTTGTATTCCTACCTCAGAGAAAACGGGCTGCTGCCTGCCTCTGGGGACTGGCAGGGAACAGGAAGCCTGGTTTTGTCGGTTGGCTCAATCTTCATGTGATTTTCCGGTCCCGTCGTCATTCTAACTGCATTTTTTTTTTTTTTGAGACAGAGTCTTGCTCTGTCATCCAGGCTGGGCAATGCAGTGGGCGTGATTTGGCTCACTGCAACCTCTGCCTCCCGGGTTCAAGCACTTTTCTGCTCACGCCGTCCCGAGTAGCTGGGATTCGGGCTCCCAAAGTGTCTGGAAGTACGCAGGGAGCCACCGTGCCCAGCCGAGGACCAGCATATTTCTTATGGACTAATTGGACATCTGTATTAACTTAAAGTGATATTTAAATAGATCGTAATGTTTTAAGAGCTTGAATTTTGTAAAACTTTAACCAAGGAGATTTTCTGCATTTAGCAGTAGATATTGATTTTGGGAATATTTATATTATTTCAGACCACTGCGGCGCGCTTATCAATCTGTTGTAAAACTTGAGCAATGAAGGTCTAAGAGAGGAAGGTTTAAAGGAAACTTTGATAAATTAAAAGTTGGAAAAAAGGAAGAAAATAAGTAGCCTAAAACAATCCACGTAAGAAAAGAGTTCCCAAGGACTCTGTATAATTTTTATGAGAGCCCTTCTACTGGGTCTTAGAACTGTAGGCTAGGAGTTTCCAGAAAATCTTCCTTTAAATGTCACTAGGTGCTTGTCAGTGATGAATACATTTTTAAATATGATTTCTGATTTTTCTTAAAATAGGATTTTCCCAGAGAGCAGAGGAGTCAACCATTCTCCTGCACTAGTAGACTGATGGTCTAGTAGCCTGAAAGTATTATTGTTTTGAGTTTAAAAGTCATAATCCCAATTTACCATTAGTCAAGTGTGACTTTTGCGTTGATGGTTTTGTCTTTTAACCAGTAAGCTTACCAGTGATGGGACAAGCAGCATAGGGCATTGAATCCGGAATCCCTGGAATCCTTTTTTGTAGTTCATTTGGTTGTCAAGTTCCTTTTGTACTTTTTGAAGTGTACCTGGCTAGAAATTTTTTATCGAATGGCCCTGTTTTTCCTTATTGCTGTTTTTCTTCTGGTATCTGGTATGGATATAGCCACTCTAGCATTCCTTGTGCCTTGATTGACATTAGTATGGTAGGTCTTTTCTATCCTCTTTTAACTCGTTTGTGTTTTCGTATTTAAAGTGGATTTCTTGTGAGCAGTGTGTAATTGGGTCTTGCTTTCCTTATCCAATCTGAAAATTTCTGTCTTTTTTTATTTTTTTGAGATGATGTCTCACTCTGTTGCCAGGCTGGAGTGCTGTGGCGTGATCTCAGCTCACTGCAACCTCTGCCTCCTGGGTTTAAGCAATTCTTCTGCCTCAGCCTCCCAAGTAGCTCGGACTACAGGCGTGCGCAACCATGCCAAGCTACTTTTGTACTTTTAGTAGAGACAGAGTTTCACAGTGTTGGCCAGGATGGTCTTGATTTTTGACCTTGTGATCTATCCGCCTTGGCCTCCCAAAGTGCTGGGATTACAGGCATGAACCTCCTCACCCGGCCCAGTTTCTGTCTTTTAATTCAGAGCGTAGCCCATCTACATTTAAGAGGTTAATGATGTAATGATATGATTAAATTTAAATTCTTCATCTTGCTGTTTGTTTTCTGTTTGTCTCTTCTGTTCTTTATTTTCTTTCCCTTTTCCTTCCTTTTGTTTGGGATTAAATGTGTATTTTTATCTCCTTTTTTTGACTTATTAGGTATAACTCTTTGTTTCTGTTTTTTAGTTGTGCGTTAGGGCATGCTTCTCCAGCCCGTGGGCCACATGCCGCCCAGGATGGCTTTGAATGCAGCTCAACACAAATGCGCAAACTTTCTTAAAACATTTTGAGTTGTTTTTTTTTTTTTAAAAAAGCTCATCAGCTATCGTTGGTGTTAGTGTATTTTACGTGTGGCCTAAGACAGTTCTTCCACGTCCAGTGTGGCCCAGGGAAGCCAAAAGATTGGACCCCCTTTCTTTAGGCTTTTCAGCTGACCCTCTAACTGTAGTGGAGTCCGTGTAATTCACAGAGCAGCAAACCTCTTGACCTTACAGCCATGCCCTCCCATTTACAGCCATGCTCTCCCATTCTCCACTTGTGGCCTGTGCTGTTGTCATACATTTTAATTCTACACAGTCATAAGCCTCACAATACATCGTTGTTGTGTTTGCTTTAAACAAGTCATTTTTAAAAAGAGATTAAAAATAAGAAAAACGTGTTTTATGTTTATTCAGTATTTACCATTTACAGTGCTTCTTATTCCTTTATGTCAATCTGGACTTTCCTTCTGCCTGGATATTCCTTTAGCATGTCTTGTACAGGTCTGCCGATGGTGAATTTTTTTCAGCTTTAGTATGTTTGAGAAAATCTTATTTCACCTTTATTTATGAAAGGTATTTTTGCTGCATATAGATTTCTGGATTGATGGGGTTTTTTCCTTTCTGTGTTTTAAAGATACTCTCTCTTCTGGTATATGTTTTCTGTGGTTTTTATCATCCTTCTGTGTGTAATAAGTCTTTCTCTGGCTGCTGTGAAGATTTTACTATTGGTTTTAAGCAAGTTGATTGCAATATACTTTGGTGTAGATTTCAAACTTCTTGTACCTGAAATTTATCAAGCCATTTTGTTAAATGTTTTCTTCTCCCTTTCGCCCTTTTCTTCAGAAAGTGTCTAGCCAGCTGTTTATTTTATTTAGTGTAGTTTTAATTTCAGACACTGTATTTTTCATCTCCAGTGAAGTTTGATTTGGATCTTTTTAAAAAATCTTCCATGTGTGTTTAACATGCTCAGTCTTTACCTTTTATGGGATATGGAAAATACATGCAGTAAACGTTTTATGTGTATTAAGTCTACTGTCTCTATCATTTCTAGGTCTAATCTTTTGCATTATAGGTCATATTTTTCTATTTCTTTGCATGCTTTGTGATTTTGGAGGAGATGCTTGGCGTTTTAAATTTTACTTTACTGAATATTTTTGTGTTCTAATAAATATTCTTGAGCTTTGTTTTGAAATGCAGTTAAGTTACTTGGAGCCAACTTGTTAGGTGGAATCAGAGCAGCCTTTTCTCCAGGGCTCATTTTCCCCACGGCTGAAGCAGTGCCCTTCTGAGCACTGTCCCTGCTATCCTGTGGGTTTAGGAGAGTTTCCCACGGTGGCTAGTGGGAAAACAAACCATTCTGGTCTTGGTGAGCCTGCCCTGGGCTTGTTCCCTCTCCTTCTTCAGGCAGCTGTTTTCCAGGCTGGAGATGTGGGGAAGGCCGTCTCAGGCTTACCCTGCGGGCTCTGTGGCCCAGGCACTGAGGGCCACCAACCCCCCGCACCCCGTTCATGTCCCTCTCAGGGATCACACTCGTGTACATGCTGGGGTTCAGGGCCTGAAACCGTTCTTCATGTATTTTGTCTTTGTTTTTTAAATTGAGTCATCTGGGAGAGTAGATCTAGTCCATCATGGCCAGAAACAGAAGTCCAAGCAATGTTTTTATTTTTATTTTTTAAAGTTGTGAAATTATCAGCCCAGAAAATGGCATGATAGTTTTCACATTAATTTAGCTTAATGGTATCTTGAGAGTAGGGGAAGCTGTAAGCTGTGTAACTGTTTTTCTCTATGGCATTGTGATTCTGATTCTGGAAGCCCTGCTGAACCCTCATCCTTTTTGGAAGAGAAATTTACTAGGCATCATGGTATGTTAGTTTGTTTAAGGATAGTTCCTTAAGATAATGCATTTGTTAAAAAATTTTTGGTGAGGACAAAAAGTGGCATTGTTGAGAATTAATTTCTAACATCTCTATTTCCTGTAGGAAGTAGAAGCACTATTTAAAGGAGATAATTTACCAAAATTTATAAACTGTGAATTTGCATATAATGATAATTGGTTTATTACATTTGAAACAGAAGCTGATGCACAACAGGTAAGTTCTTTCCACCATCACCCTATGAATTGCATAGTTTACCAGTTTTTAGTATTAGTGCATGTTGGGACTAAACTTGGGCATTGAGATTATTTGTGATAGTAAGTTCGAATATAATCTGCAGAGGAAATCAAGTTGTAGAAACTTAAATGAGTGTATTTATATGGATAATTTTTATAGCAATATAAAAAGCATGTGATTTTACTTTCTAAGGACAGCAAGCTAAGCAACCTAGGAAAATCAGTTTTGTTCTTCTGTCTGGGCAGAGAAAAGTTTTACTATTTGCAAAGTGTTTGGGGGGAAATTTGAACCTAATCTTCATCTCCCAGCAGACTTCATTGTATGTTGGAAGATGCTTTTAATGGTATTGAGAAGTAAGCTCTGTAAGGAAGTACAAGGAGTTAGTAGTTTTCCTGCCCTTAAGGGAAGGAAACATCTTATTTGTGGGAAAACTAACACATGTATTATAAAGTGTTAAATGGTATAAACAATATCTGGGGTTCAGAAAAGAAAACACAGAAACCTGAAAGATGGGTTTGAATTGGATGGCGGGGAAAAGGGGGACGGAAGATAGAGTAACCATGTTTGTGGAGCTGAGCGTGAGCTCTGCCAGCCTGCGCGGCGAAGGTGATTGGATGAGACTGTATCAGAGGTGCAGGGCCTTCACGGTTTTATAGGGGTTTAATGTAGAATTAGTGTGGAGAAGAACAAGGAGATATGTAAAGAATGTTATGATCCTAATCCTTTTCCTTCCTGTCTGGTATTTCCTGAACTGCATACTCCTAATCTGAAATTGGGATTAATACTAGGAACTCAGTATTCATCATTTTCCACCAGGTCAAGGTTCTTAGCCAGTGGTCTTTGGGAGACTTGTATGGCATCTATTAATACTTACAAAATTGTGTACTAATCTTGTTTGTGAGAATTTGGGGTACACGTTCCATAGCTCTTATGAGGTTATTTTAAGGGATCTGTGACCCAGGGGGTGTCAAGAATCATTATTCTAAGTTCTGTTCACCATAATTTAAATATATATTTCCCTATTTGAGCTATTGAGTGAACTATTGGTGCCTCTTATTCATAAGGTTAATCGAATGGAATTTTGTACTTAATTTTGCCCTTAGGCTTACAAATACCTTCGAGAAGAAGTCAAAACTTTTCAAGGAAAACCAATTAAGGTAAGCAAGACCATTGGTTATTCTTTGTTTATTTGCAAATTGATGTTCTTAAGTATTCTAATAGAAACTTACATATTTTCAAACAGGCGCGGATAAAAGCAAAGGCAATAGCTATAAACACATTTTTGCCAAAGAATGGATTTAGACCCCTGGACGTGAACCTGTATGCCCAGCAGCGCTACGCGACATCGTTCTACTTCCCTCCCATGTACAGCCCCCAGCAGCAGTTCCCCCTGTACAGCCTGATCACGCCCCAGACGTGGTCAGCAACGCACAGCTATCTTGACCCACCCCTGGTACGTCGTTTCTTTACTAGGAATTTATGTTGTAGACACTATGCTAGATAATTTGAAGGATTAAAATCCTCATCTAATAGGAAGCCAGGTATGTGTGCAGTCTGACATAGTAAAATAGACCTTCAAGTTATGTGGGGGATTTTAAATTTAGTTGAGAACAGATCTTATGCATAAAGAACTTTGGATTGCTGTGATCACAATCCTTGCTCAGCCCCTCTCCACTCTCCCCTCTCCTGAGCTCTTGTCATGCAGCTCTTAGCAAGATACAGAGGGCGGTAAGAGCTATAGTGTACCTGGTGTCCCCTACACAGAGGACAATGCAAGGGGGATTAACTGAGGAGGAAGAGGTGTTTAATAGGCTTCTGACAGCAAGGCCGAGGAGAAGGCCTGCTCTTTCACCAGCCTTATTTTACTCACTTCTCACCAGCCTTAGAGTTGGTTGACATGATTAATTTTTATGGATTTTGGCCTTTGTTAAGGCTGTGGTTGGAATTCATAAGTCTGTACTGGATCTTTGTGTGCTGCTATAGATGCTTGAAAGATCAGGTGGGTCCTGGGTGGGAATTAGCATGAGTTTGGTGGCATTGGATGCACAAGAGTCAGCAATACACGGATGAGCATGTCCTTGAAGCTGAAGTCTAGTTGAGAAGTGAAGATGGGTTCATGGACTAGAGGTTTGCATGAGGTAGCAATGCAGGTTAGTTGGAATTGGAGAGATTGAAGGGTAGTATCCATAGAAGGTTATGGTCAGAAAGCAGAAATTGAGTTAGTAGCTTTGAAGAGTTCATGTCCAGGGTTTCACTGTGGACTAAGGGAAGACTGGGTGGTCCTCGACTAAGGGAAGACTGGGTGGTCCTCGGGGTCGGATGGCTGGGAGCCAGGCACCCTGATGGGCAGGGACGTCACTGCTGACAGGCAGAAAAGGAGGGTAGGTTCAGAGCAGAGTGAACTCGAGAAAACAAATGCCTGTATACGGAAAGTGAAGATATGGGCCCATCAAACAACTCAGGCTGGAAAAGTCAAACATGCCAAGGAGACACGCGTACAGAATGTGTACAGAATGGCAGAACACAGACCAACAGGGCTTATCAGGGATGGTGTTGTGGTCTGGGTTGAGCTTTTCGGGTTAAGTACGAGTTTTTCAGAAGGAATCAAAAGAGAAGGAAGTTTCATGAACAGAAGATGGTCGTGGATTCATGGGTGTTGGAGCTGAAGCGTAGAGAGGTGGCAGGGAGTTGGGGAGCGAGATGGAACTTTCCAGGCCTTACTGCACAGGTGCTTAGCTGTCCTGAGGCTTGTGGGCTTTGGCCTAGTGCTTGTGGGAAGTTGTCTAAGGTTTCTAAGCAGAGAAATGAAACCATACTCCATTTATAAAATAGCTCCTAAGGCCGTGTGAATTGCAGGCGGGGACAGGGAGAGATTTTCAGAGGCCCCCAGTTCCCCTTGAGTCTGGAACCACTGCAGTAGAAGAACCTTTGGTAAAGTTACGTCTGTCTCTTTTGAGTAAGTCCTAATGGTAAGAAAGTTTCTGGTTTTTGAAGTAGTACATCTGTAAAAGTGTACCCATAGCTGAATACTTAAAAGCATATCATGAGAGAACCTCAGAGAGACTTTAGTGCATAGGCTCTGGGTGTTGAAGAATCATCGCTGCACATGGCTTGCCGTGCTTGTCCTTTTAGTTCTTCCTGCAGCAGTTGCTTCTCCCATTTCTTTAATCATGGTTGACCCTCTTGGGGATCCTTGGGGTCCTGGGTCAGCTTATGGCCTTGACTCGTGTTGTATGTTCAGACTGCGGTGTGTGCCAGCCAGCTGGTCCTGCTCTGAGTCTTGGAACTGGGGCTCTCCATCGCAGCCTTTTACTTGCTCTAAAATATGTGTGTCCCTTGTTCTGCAACTGAAGAAGTCATGCCTATTAATCCCCAACAAGTAATAATAGGAAGTTATAGCATTAATAATCAACTTTATTTTTTATATATGACCAATTTTATTTTTTATCTTGAGCAAATTTACTGGAATATCAGGGCTCTGTCTGTAAAATGACTTGCTTGAAATGAATAGTCCTCATTGCTCTTCCCGTGATTTACAGCCTCAGATCTAGGTCTGCATCCACGGCTCCTCCTGTGTGGTGTATTTTTTTTTTTTTTTTGAGACGGAGTCTCGCTCTGTCGCCCAGGCTGTAATGCAGTGGCCTGATCTCGGCTCACTGCAAGCTCTGCCTCCTGGGTTCATGCCATTCTCCCGCCTCGGCCTCCCGAGTAGCTGGGACTACAGGCGCCCGCCACTGCACCCGGCTAATTTTTTGTTAGAGACGGGGTTTCACCGTGTTAGCCAGGATGGTCTCCATCTCCTGACCAAGTGATCCGCCCGCCTCGGCCTCCCAAAGTGCTGGGGTTATAGGCGTGAGCCACCGCGCCCAGCCATGTGTGATGTATTTTTCAAGAATCCGATTCTTACAGCGTATAGAGTCTCTCAAGTAGCAAATTGGAGATTCTAACTTGCCTTTTGTATGATTTTATTTTGGTCCCAAGCTATCTCTGATATTCTTTTTCTGTTATATCTTCCAGTTAGCTCTAATTAAGGAGAATTACTTGCTTTTTTCCTTTTCTTTCTCTTTTTCTCCAAACGAGGAGAGGGCTCTATGCCTATCTCTGTCACTTTAGTGACATTGAGGGTGTGGACTGTAAGGCCCTCAGGAACTAAGCGCCCTGCGTCAGGAGCATTAGGAGCAAAATGTTAGTGATTCAGAATGTATTGGAAACCATGGATCCAGAAGCCAGAGAATTAGAGTGATTGATCTTGGTTTTTTTTGTTTGTTTGTTTTTTGTTTTTCTTTAAAGGAACTGTTTTAACACTAAGTTTTATCTTACTTTTGTATGTGTCTAGATTTTAAAAATAGTTGGCCGATACTTAAAATTCTATGCTCAATATTTTTAACTGCTTAAGATCTTTTAGGGATTCTGTGGCCCTTTCTAATTTTCTTCTGAATCTTATGTTAGTATATTTGCATGCCATGTTTACCTTGTGAATTGGGGAATAATGATGACATGAAAATACCCTGGTCTGCAGAGCAGGACTTGTGTCGAGGTAAAGTAAAGGCGCTGTCAGTCTGTGGTTGGATCAAGCCGAGTGAGCAGCAGTAGGGTTAGTGCAGGTGCAGGTGCTCCTGAGATTGAGAACGTTGATGAGTTGTATTAAAGCCATCAGGAATCAAGACCTGTTGACTTCCTGCCAGCGATGGAGGTAGTATCAGACTTACGTGCTAAAGGTTACAACACTTGTTGGAGCCCACGCACTTTTGACCACGTCTTTCCTCTCAGTGCCAGTTTCCACGTGTCAGTTCTCCTTGCTGGATTGTTGTAAGGATTGGCTGAAAGGATGCACAAAAGCTCCAGCCTACTTCTAAACAGCACCCATTGGCGATAAAATTGTAAAATACGTGTCTCAACATGAGTCATGACTCTGACAACATCAAGAAATGCCGTCGGTCTCCACAGATTTGTTGGTATTAATGAAATTGAAGTCTGTTTTATGGTTTCTTTACTTGTCTGTTTTCAAATGAATCTAGGTAACTCCATTTCCAAATACTGGATTTATAAATGGGTTTACGTCTCCAACGTTCAAGCCTGCGGCGTCTCCTCTGACTTCTCTCAGACAGTATCCTCCTCGAAGCAGGCAAGTTCCGGGGCGTTCCTAGTGCTTTTGGTCTTTATGCTCTGCCCTTCCGGAGCTGGGACGAGAGAGCTTTGATCACTAATCCTGCTCCTTGCAGACGGAGCCACTTGAAGCACACAGCTGCATTCCGTAAAGACTAAGCACTGCCATCTGGCGTGGGTGCCTCAGATTCTCTGAGAGGAGGCTCTGGGGCAACTTGTACACGTCAGGTGTGCCTGATTTTAATTTGGGCCTGGACGGAAAAACAGCAGAATCGTGGCACATTGTTAATAGATTTGTATTATCCTATGTGGTAGGAGTTAACCATCCCAAATCCTATTTTTATATTTTATTAAATAGAAAGCAGATTTCAGCTTAGCTATTCCCTGTCAGTATGCATGTTATGTCATGCCTTGATCATTTTATAATTGAACACATAAAACCATTTTTATTTACAGGAATCCTAGTAAATCTCATCTGCGGCATGCAATTCCTAGTGCGGAGAGAGGACCTGGGTTATTAGAAAGTCCTTCAATATTTAACTTCACTGCAGATCGATTAATTAATGGTGTCCGGAGTCCACAAACAAGGCAAGCAGGTCAAACTAGAACACGGATACAAAACCCTTCAGCATATGCCAAGAGAGAGGCTGGGCCTGGGCGCGTGGAGCCAGGCAGTCTTGAATCTTCTCCTGGTTTAGGGAGGGGAAGGTGAGTTGTTGAGCAGCCACTGTGTACCATCGTAAACTACTAATATTTTAAAAATTCTTTAATTTAGGTCTGTTTTGTAATTGTCTTTAAGTATATCACAGAAAATCTAATTGAAGGCTATAAACATAAAGGGTTTTATGTAATTGTTGAGACTTAAATGGCTTCATCTTTTTTGGAATATGAAATGGTTCAGTGAGAACTGTAGATGTTTTAGATCATTGTCTGTAGAAACATTGGAGCTCAGCAGTCATAGACTTCATCCCATGTGCCTGCAGTCTCCTCTTGGCAGCATACCTGGCTCACCAGGCCCCTCTGCGAGAGCAGTGTCCAGGCTCTGCCCCATGGCTGCTGGCCTGGTGCCCTCCAGCGGGGTGTGCACCAGGCACTGCAGGTGGAGCCTGGAGCGGGTAACCAGGCAGATCAGGATTGAAGTCTGATCTCACTGGAGGGTTGAGACTAGCCAGGATGGGTCGTGGTTGTGCTTCCTGCCCACTGTTTTTGGTTTTAATATTTTTTTGGCATCAATCCTGTAGTTGGTTTTTTGTTTGTTTTTAAGACAAGGTCTTGCTCTGTTGTCCAGGCTGGGGTACAGTGGCACGATCATGGCTCACTGCAGCCTTGAACTCCTGGGTTCAAGCAATCCCGTTGCCTCAGCCTGCTGAATAGCTAGGACTTCAGTGCACACCACCATGCCTGGCTAGTTTTTAAATTTTTTGTAGAGACAGGATCTCGCTGTGTTGTCCAGGCTGGTCTTGAACTCCTGGCCTAGAGCCATCCTCCGGCCTCTGCCTTCCATAGTGCTGGGATTACAGGTGTGAGCCACCGCACCCGCCCATTGTTGATAAGGCCAGTCCTTGCCTTGATAAGGACTGTCAGGATTTCCCTTTCATAAGTGACTAACAAGTGACTTGAATTCCTGAACTTTTTCTGAGTTTTCTGTACACAAAATGTATAGCACTGTGCCTCATGTGCAGACCCCTCTTCCTGCTGCCCCCATGCACACGCTCTGTGCAGTGAGAATTCAACATGAAGAGGCATCAGAAGCATCTCATTCCTGCCCATAATGATTAAATGAGCACATAGGAGTTGCTGCAGGGATTGTGCAGTGGCCTTGGAAGGCACCATGGTCTGGGAGAGCTGGCACTGGGCTGTCTCACAGGAAACATGGCGTCAGGCTGGCTTAACAGGCCTTGGAGATGCAAAGCCAAAAGGGGCCCACTGTGTCATGCAGAGTCACTGACTTCAGGGAGCAGTTGCTAGCCCTGGGTCTCAGTTTGGGGTTCTTAAGGCCCAGAAGCTTGGAGGGAGGAGGGCTGCAGAGCTGGGGCTCAGACTTGGGACAGAGCCCCACTCATCAAGGCCATGTGGCTCCCTCTGAGGGGCATCAATTGTGGGCCTGGTGTGGAAGGAGGCAGACTAAATGGACAAGACCCCTGGCCTCAGCCTCCTGTGCCCTTCAGTGTGCCCTGTTCATATGAGCGTCACAAGAAGCTTCCTGGCAATGAAAGTGGGGCTTGTTGAATTCCAGCTCCCTCACACAGTGTATACAGGTGGCTTTGAAGCCGAGAGTCCAGCGCTTGCTAATGAGTGTGCTCCACCCAGGATACCCTTGAACAATACCTGAACTTGCAAATGCTGCAGTGGTAACAAGTCTATGCTTTGGCCTAACAGATGCAGATTTTGCACCATGGAGACCCTCTGTCTCCCCACCAAGGGAGTGTCCTCCCACCTGAAACCTGAGCACTGCAGCAGGGAGTGGTTTAGGAAGCGTCACCGCTCAAGGGGCGGGGAAAGTGCATGCAGCTCCTGTAGCCTGTTTCTGTAACGGGTCCTGAAGCCAGAGCTGATCTTCATAACGTCCTCCTTCCCTCTATGTTGAGAAAGAGCTTGTTCTGTTTCGCAGGGAGTGCTCCAGGCCTTCCTTGCCCTGAGAACCTGATCCCCAGCAGCCTCCACCTCCCCTTTTTGGGAGGGTTTGTGTTGTTTCCATTAACTTTCTCTATTGGGCCAAAGTGCTAAGATACCCTGGAGAACCCCTTACCAGAGTCCAGACACACGTCCCTACCCTTGCATGGCGGCCATGGCAGGGCACAGCCCAGCCGGGTTGAATGGCATGAGGAGCCCCAAGTGCCAGGTGGCTGCCTTGGTGGAGCTACTGTTAGGGTTATTTGGGGGAAGCACACCTCTTCAGGGTCTCTTCACACCACCGCATTCAGAGTCGCAGGTGTCACAGTGGTGTTTCTGTGGTGCTGGCACCACCCTGGGTCCCTTGCTACCTCTTCTGAGCTGGAACCCGCCATGGCCCTGTCGGGGAGCCTTGGCTTGGCCAACCTGCTCTCTGCATGATGGGCACTGACGTGTTCTGCAGCTGCAGGTGGGCTTCTGGGTCCGACACGGGTTACGTGGAGGCCCAGTGAGGGTGTGGGGAGTGTTGACTGGGCCCACTGATGGTGACTGGGATAGGACTCCATGGCAGGCAGGTCTGTGTCCTGGACACCACTGTGTTCCAAGGGATGGGTGCCCCTGTGTCTCAGCCGGTAGTGACGAGCAGGCTGCCTTTGGCGGAGGGATGCCCTCTGCCGAGCCCTGCGGGATGTCCTCTTCCCATGTGGCTGCTGTCCCTCACTCAGGACAGTGCCTCTGGGCAGGCAGGTGCTGGCACCATCCATCTCACACCCCTCCCAGGTCCCCAGGGCCAGTTGAGTCCTGTCCCACTCCGGACTCTCATCCGGTTGCGTTCCTAGCTCTGTTCATGAGCCATGGTAGCCCCACCTTTCCACCAGTTCTGAATCGTGGCACAGCGGAGTGGGCGTTCAGCTCCCTGGGTTTCCGGAGCACCCCCTATTAGGGAGTGGTGCTGAGCCAGGTGTGTGTTGGGATGGCTGTCCATAATGCAGGCCCAGGTCCCTTTCTCCCTGTGAGGCCGCAGGCAGGGATCCAGGACAAGGAGCACCAAGGCCCCTGTTCCTGCAGGAGGGTGGGTTGTCAGGACTCGTGCCCCACCTGTGGCTCAGTACTCACCCACGTCCCATAGTCTGGCTTGCAGTCTCCGCAAGGCCCCAGTAGAAAGCCAGGAGCTATTTCCAGGAAGTTTTCTGTAGGAGATAATAGGGATTTGCTCCAGAATCCTAAAGGTTTGTGCCATCCTTCCCCTAGAGGGGCTGGCCCATGGTTCCACGGAGTGTTCCAGTGTTAGGCCATCTCAGGCAAGACTACTTTTTGGTTTTCTGTAAATGAAGGGATTAGTCAAGACTATGTCTGAACTCCTTTCTAAGTTATGTAATGCAAGGCTCTTGGGGGAGTCTTTGCATTCCATTAAATTATAAATTGAGATTAATGTGTGTCATGTGACTTGTTAGTCCGCATAACCCTGTCCAAGGAAATGGGAATGCCTTGGCCATCCTAGTGTCCCAGGTCTTTACGTGAAGTCACCACTTAATCAGTGTGTGTCTTGTGGTTATCAGCTGCGTGTGTGGCATGGCCTTGCTGCCTGCAGGGGGAGGTCCAGAACGTGGTTCCTGAGGCTGGCAGGCGAGGACAGAAGTCTTTGGGGCACAGAGGTCCTTGTGTGGTTTTCGTGGGCAGAGGTCCGCCATGGAGGCAGTAGTGGAGGAAGCCGAGAGGGCGGAGGAAGGGATGGGACGGAGTATTTGGGATCTTTTAAATCTGATGTAAAACAAATCTGCACCGGGAAAATTCTTACCACCATTTTAAACAACTCTCTGATGGAGCTCCATCTCAGATTTTATGTGTCTTGTCATTTCGACCCACGGGATCTTCAGTACTCACGTCTCAACAGACCTCCCAGGGAGGCACCAGGGAGATGGTTTTAGTCAGTGTTTTCTTCCGTTCTCTGTCACTTGCCTGGACTTCTGCGTTAGTCCCTTGCTGTACACTTTGTGTTGCTCCGCTTATGCTTCTTAGAGTTGGGATTCTAGACTTGAAAGTCATCTTTAAAAGTTTTTAAAGTGATGAAGATTGAGTTGATGTGTACTTTGCTTATGTGAGTGCAAACGTGCTCAACAGTAAATTCTCCACGTGGGAAAAAAATAACAGTCTTTCACTTTCCACTCCTAGGAAGAATTCCTTTGGCTACCGGAAGAAAAGGGAGGAGAAGTTTACAGTGAGTACATAAAGCATATGCCTCTTGACAAGACATTTAAATCTAATTTATACCAAACCTGAGATTTAATTAAATGGATTAAGGTTAAGACACAAGAATGAGCGTTTCAAAAGACTTGTAACCTGAAATCTGCTAAATAATAACTGACACCCTGGCTGGCCTAGGAGGAAGCAGTTGTAGAGGTTTTGGAAATAGCGATGTGCTGCACGGGACTCCATCGTGCACAGGCGTGTGTGCTGTGGCATAGGCATGGCCAGGAGCTTGCTGTCGCACGCACTGCAGCCTACACACGGGTGTGCACGTGAGCTCTTCTGTGTGGCAGCTGTACCGAAGAGTCTCAAAAGACTGGAGCCATTCATTTCAACGAGCAGAGTAAGCGTCTTCCACGGAGCAATTTGTTTGTTGGTGTTTTTCCTTCAAAACTTTCGAATACTCTCCTGCTGTGTAGAAAGCATTATCTCCTTCTGCTGTAACTTACTGGCAGGACAGACCCAAACATAAGTGATAGGTTTTTGTGGCGGTAAGTACACGAGACGTGGTGATTTTGCTTGAGTTGATTAAACAGTTTCTCCTGTGGAAAATGTTTGTGCTGGTCTTTAGTGGAGGTTGGCATGGACTTCTCCACAGCCAGTGGTGGGACGGCACGGGGGCAGAGTTAGCAGTACCCACAGAGATAGGAAGGACGGCACAGTGGCAGTTAGCAGTACCCGTGAACCAGTGGTGGGACGGCACAGTGGCACGTAGCAGTACCCACAAAGATGGGAGGGATGCCTCCACGGGCTTGAAGATGTGGAATTCCATACAAGGAATGCTGGAGAAGACCTGGACAAATACTGGTCCAGCCCCTCAAGCCATCACACAGGTGTTTTCTCATCACAAAAGATACAATCTCTGTTTAGAACTCAGAAATTCTGCCTTTCATAAAGTCGGCTTAGTCTAGTTTTTGTTTAACTAGTTGGTAAGGCAGTTTTTATCGGTTGATTGCATTTGGATTTAGTGAATTCCTGTAACCATTTGGACTAACAAGGCAAGCATTTAAACGTGGGGAACTGTTGTGCCTGCTGTGATGTTTTCCCACCCCTGTTTCTGTTCCATTCCGTTTTGCCTTGCTTTCCTGGTGCGTGTGTTCATGACTGACCTGCTTAGAAGCTTTGGTGTGTGGCCCAGTGTTGTACTGATTACAGAGCGTACGCCCATCGTTTTACGTACTTGCTCTCAGGACCTCAGAAAGGTCCAGATTCTTTTTCTGTAAGAGTGTGTGAGGCTTGGGCCTAACCACGCCCATGGGACCTGAGCAGTACTGAGACCTCACCCAGGGGCACTCAGATCCTAGAGAATTTTAACACTGCCTTCCAAGTCAAGTCCCATCTGTCGGCGATGTCATTTTGTAACTCCAACATCTGAGCATTTGTTACCTGTCTCTTTTGCTTCTACGAGTTGAGATTTAAATACGTTTTTTGGGAAGGCTGTCTCTCTAATGATGCTTATCTTCTGAAAAGCTGTGTTCACCTCAGAAACGTGCAGATGTTTAAAACCGCTTTGCCATCACAATGGCCATGTGTAACTTAGAGCTTTGCAGGATTATTTCGAGCATCATGTTCACAATACTAGGTTATAGAGAGCGTACAACAGCCAGCTGCTTAGTAGGTAACAAGCTTACTGCCAAGGACACCTAACTGGGAAAAGCTAAGCTAAAATTAGGCACCTGTCCCATGGAGCAGAGAAGCAAGTAGAATGCCCAACACAGACTGCTGGGGTTTATGTCACAGACTGGGATTTGTGTCAGCCTGAGTTCATTTTCATCCTTTGACCTGCTTTCACTTCTGATGTATTTTCTCTGGAATCTACTGATGCAGGGATTCACCTTCCTGTGTATAAATTTTGGAGAAACGTTGGCACTCTCAAGTTAGGTGGATCCCACGAGAGCTTTGCTTCCTGGTCAAAGTAGCTCATTGTTTCAACTAAAAATACTTGTATTCTTTAGTAAATATAAACTCATTTCTAAACTAAAATACACTCATTTCCCCATTCTGTGCCATGTGGCCTTCAGCCGAGGAACTGCGTACTCGCAAAATGACTGCCAGCTTGTTAAAGCGGGTTGATAGATCATTTTCCAATAAAAGGTATTACTGCCTTTCTCCTGAGATTTGGGCTTACAAAGTACACTCTCTTCTTTTATACTGAGTTTGCTTTCTTGAAGTCAAAGAATCTGATTCGAATTTGTTATCAAATACTGTGTTTTTAATTATTAAAAAATATAACTTTCATTAAGTTTATTTTCAGAGAATTCAAGCCCCCTTCCCTTTTATTAAACCACTTTTTTGATGCACGTGTGTAAAATTTCTTACACAGGTTGTGGAGAGTGTCGTGTATTGTTCACAGTTATCTTTGTGACTTGCATTAGAAACCATGCTGTAATAGCCCAACACTTGTCTGGAAGTGGGAAAGTTTAATGTCTAGACTCAGGCTGCCCTGCTTTCCATCACTCCAGAGCGCCTCCCTTGCCTTCAGCTGCCCCTGCTGTTTGTGAGTGCTGGCAGCCATGGCTGGACGGCTCTTTGGATAGCACCTTAGCCTCACTGTGTCCTTGGTGACACGTCTCTTGGGCAGCAGCATCTTGAGATTTCAGTTTTAAAGCTCTGCTCTAGATGGTTGAAGTTGCTTCAGTTGGGTGAGGAAGCCCTTGTCTGGGTTGAATGATCTGCTTGTTTCTACAGATATTTTCCAGACGGGTGTGGAAATGAGAAGCTGCGTGGCCTTCTCTCTCCACACCGTGACCCTGGGATGTCATTCTGTTGCAGAGCAGCCAGACACAGTCTCCGACGCCACCAAAGCCTCCGTCGCCAAGCTTCGAGCTGGGGCTGTCCAACTTCCCTCCATTACCTGGAGCTGCGGGCAATTTGAAGACAGAGGACTTGTTTGAAAACAGGCTATCTAGCTTGATAATAGGACCATCCAAAGAAAGGGTAAGGGATACATTGCATGTCTAATAGTTGCCAACAGTGTTTAGGTACGGGTTCCGTGTCAGGCGCTTTGCTAAGCTCTTTATACATGTTTGTTTTTAATACTCAAGAGAGGCTTAGAGGCCATGTGATTGCAGAGGTCGCACAGATTTGGGGTAAGGCCAATCTTGATCCCAGGACTGGGCCTTCTCCTTAACCTTGCTGTCTGATGAAGTCAGAGGTAGAAACTTGTGCAATGATAGGCTATACACACCCTTTCTCTCACCCAGAAACTTAGATTGCATTGTCATTGTTGTTCAGACCTGCCTTTATTTTACAAAACAATAGAATGAAATAGAAGAACCTGAATAATATTGGAAATAAGTAAAATGTGTAGTCATCTACGTGAGACAAGGAGCAAGAAGCCTGGGAGAACCCCACTGTAGTGTGGGTGGCTTCTGGTGAGGTCTGGGCTGCCCCACGAGGTGCCCCCTCGGCTGCAGTGAACATCATCCCAGGAGTCGTCCAGAGCTGCAGTTGCCAGAGGACGCTCAGCCCAGCGCTCTGGCCTCTAACGTGCTTAGCGAGGTGAAGGTGGGACTTGTCCAGCTGCCACAGCTGACGTTTGAAGGCTCTGGGAAGTGCAGAGAAAGTTTTCTGCCCAGTTACCTCCTGTGCGTCGGAAGAGCCTGCTGAGCACTCCTGGTTGCTCGTGTCCCCTGTGCCGGGGCCCTTTCCCCGGCTGTGCCCCAGAGCCACCGCGTGTCTATTCCACGCCACGTGACCATGCCGCCTGCTCCCTCACCCAGGTCTGCAGAGTCAGTGTCTCTTCCCCCCAGGCTTTCGGGAAGGCGCCGCATTGGATAGAACAGTTCCTTAGTTCCTTGGGCAGAATTTAAGGTGGATTTTGATGCAGCATCTTTACACTAAAAGCCAGGTGATGTGTCTAGTCCTTTGTATATTGGTAGATGATCGTGCTCCTGTGTGCAACCTTGGGGACTGAGTACATTCCGGGATTGTCAACACAGCCTTAAATTTCCACACCATCATTTCTGAGGTATTAGTGCCTTGAGAAGAAATGCACATTAAAGATCTCGTTTTCCAACTGTGGCCTACTCTACCCTTGGTATTGAGTGGAGGAGAAGAGGCAGGTCTCCAATCCTGCTTCAGAAACAGCAGCTCCTGCTGTGCCCAGTTTGAGTTTCTGTGTAAGGTTTCTGTTGAAGAATGAATGGCTGCTTTGAAAAGCCTGACCCTGAGCCTCATGCCGCCACCCAGGTGTAGTGGGCTCCATTGCTGCTTCTCAGGAGCTTCTTGAGTCAACAGCGTGGCCCTTGGGTTTCAAAGTGGGGTGGAGGCTCCAGAAATGATGGGTTTCAGCCCTTCCCCTGTTGACATGGAGCTTGTGACGGTCACTCTGACTTGCTTCATGACCTGCAGTTGTGGATCTGCATTTCAGTTGCATTGGGACTGAATATAGCCTGAATGAATGAATGAATTAATGAATTAATTTAAGATGGAGTCTTGCTCTGGCGCCCAGGCTGGAGTGCAGTGGCATGACCTTGGCTCACTGCAGCCTCTGCCTCCCAGGTTCAAGCGATTCGCCTGCCTCGCCTCAGCCTCCCAAGTAGCTGGGACTACAGGCATGCACCACCATATCCGACTAATTTGTGTATTATTAGTAGAGATGGGGTTTCACCATGTTGGCCAGGCTGGTCTCAAACCCCTGACCTCAGGTAATCCGTCCACCTCAGCGTCCCAAAATGCTGGGATTATAGGTGTGAGCCATTGCACCTGGCCCCTACCCTGAATTTAAAATGCGCTTTTACAAAAGGAGTCCTTTGCAAAAGGAATCCTGTTTCCACCAAGCTGGATTCCTGCTGGTTGAGCATAGGAGTCGCAGCAGATTCCGGTTCTCAGGCTGGAAGGGCTCTCGGTCTGTCGATAGCCTTCATCGAAGGGCAGAAGTGTGACGATCACCTGCCCTCCTGCCTTTTTTAAGTTGCATGACAAGTGTATCGTTACATCCCACATGCATAAGATCAAGCGCACACGAAAAGCCACTGCCCAGGGGTCGCTGGCTGGAGTAAGGAGGGAGTAAGTTTCGCTCCGTCCTTAGCTTCCTGGCCTTGGATGAATTAACTTCGAGGTACTGGGCCTCAGTTTCCTCACCTGTTGAGATGGGGGCATTCGCACACCTGCTTCCTGGGGTTGAATTCAGGGAGGGCTGGGAGCTCACATTTATACGGGTGTGGAGGCGCCGATTGTTTTTTCTCAGCTGCGTGAATGAGTTGTGTTGAACTGTGTTAGGATTCGACACTCAGCAGATGTGCGTGTACTGTGGTGCCATGCCGTGCTGGGCCCAAAGTGCCAGGTGGGTGAGATGTGTTGGATGCCTGTTCAGTTAAGAAATAAGCTTGCAGATCATCATTGCGGGAGAGGAGATAAGGCTTGTGATGTAAGAACAACGGGGCATTTGCCGAGAAAGAGAAGGGTGGGCGCTTGTGTGGGGCAGAGGATAGTCCTGGGCTCTTTGAGACATTTTCGCTGGAGAAGACCCTCCTCCCCTGTGTCCATGTGCCGCTCTCCCAAGGCTGTTCACGGGTGGGGTGAACGGGTATTGGTACCAGCTCCACTTAGTGCCAGCAGGACTCTGATGAAGACTCTTGACCCTGTTTCAGACCCTCAGTGCAGATGCAAGTGTGAACACCCTTCCTGTAGTGGTCTCCAGAGAGCCCTCAGTGCCGGCTTCTTGTGCTGTATCAGCAACGTACGAGCGATCCCCCTCCCCAGCTCATTTACCTGAGTGAGTATTGGAGTTCTCCCAGCGCCTTGGTGCTTACTGACTTGAATGGCCTGTGATGTTGCATGAGATTCAAATATTGGGTGGCATTTTTACAGTGATCCCAAGGTGGCGGAGAAACAGAGGGAAGCCCACAGTGTGGACAGACTTCCTCCCGCCCTCACTGCGACCGCATGTAAATCGGTGCAGGTGAACGGAGCCGCCACGGTACGTACCTCGTGCCTGCCTTCCTGCACGACAGCCGCGAGGCTCTGGTGTGAACAGACGCTGCGCACTCCTGCACCTGCTCGTTTTTTAATCACATCTAATTTGGTGGGTTTTTATTTGCGTCTGTCTGTGTTGTGTTTTCTGTACAAAATATGCTTAATATTTGCTAATAACTTTCCACTAACTGCTCTAGTTCTTTCTCGGACCACCATGTAGTCCTTTTATTTCAGTGTTGGTCAGTAGAGGTCTCTTGAGTAGTAACAAGACCCCAGCTCCTGTTTCTCCATAGACTTTAGGATCATTTCAGCAATTTGCGCGTGTGTGTGTTTGTGTGCGTGTGTGTGTGTGCGCGTGTGGGCATCGTGTGTCTGATGAAGAGACAGGAAGAGCAAGATGGTGGCCCCACCAGCCTCCAACCCCTGTGGGCCCAGCGGGCCTGAACCCCAGTGACTTCCTTTCTGCTGTTTTCCCTGCTGGGTGAACCGTGGTCTCTCTTATTCTGAGTTGTGGCCTCTGTAGTTTGATCTTAGGTGAGCTTTTTACTTGAATTTGGGAGTTTAATCCCTTACTGTCCCCTGGGCTGAGTCTAAAAAAGGATTTTTTTATAGGTTAAAATTAATACTTTTAATAATAAATAATAATAATAAAAGGAGAAGCTGGGTACGGTGGCTCAAGCCTGTAATCCCAGCACTTTGGGAGGCCGAGGTAGGCAGATCATGAGGTCAGGAGATCAGGACGGTCCTGGCCAACATGGTGAAACCCCGTCTCTACTAAAAATACAAAAAATTAGCTGGGTTTGGTGGTGGACACCTGTAGTCCCAGCTACTCGGGAGACTGAGTCAGGAGAATCACTTGAACCTGGAAGGCAGAGGTTGCAGTGAGCTGAGATTGTGCCACTGCACTCCAGTCTGGGTGACAGAGTGAGACTGTATCTCTAAAAAAAAAAAAAAAAGCTAAGGGAAATATTTTACTTTTCTGTTGTTTAGCCTTTATGCTTCCACTTATCTGAAAACTCTGTTACACATTTCTTTGAAGATTTTAGCTGTCTTCATCATTCTTACACATTTCCAGTGCTTTGTAGTTTGAAATGTGCAAAACATTTTTATTTAAAGACTGTTTTTGGAGTTTACCTTTCAGGGTTGAGTACTGTGTGAGGGTCCTTTGCCCACCGTGGGCACCTGGGACACCCTTCTGTTGTCCCGAGGTGGCGGAGTGAGCGCAGGCAGCATCCGGACTCCTCCTGGGCTTCCGCGTTGCCCAAGCAAGCTGAGGGCTGGGTGGGGATGGCGTTCAGTCAGCACTCTTCTCCCTCACACCTTTTCTAGTTTTATCCATTACTACAGTGGCACAGAGGGAGTGCTACACGGCAGGGGAAACTAAATCATTAGATTTTACGAACTTTTTAAAAGTTAAAAACACTAGTGAAGATGGAAACTTAGTTATAGCTGAAAACTCTTTTAAGTGAACTTGATTACCTGTCTTGTCCCTGGAGACAGCATTTCACACAGGTAACCCAGGATTGTCTGTTTCCAGGAATTGCGAAAGCCCAGCTACGCGGAGATTTGTCAGAGAACAAGTAAAGAGCCTCCTTCTTCCCCATTGCAACCCCAAAAAGAACAGAAGCCAAACACTGTTGGTTGTGGGAAGGAGGAAAAGAAGCTGGCAGAGCCCGCGGAGAGATACCGGGAGCCCCCAGCCCTCAAGTCCACACCTGGAGCCCCCAGAGACCAGAGGCGGCCGGCCGGGGGCCGGCCCTCGCCCTCGGCCATGGGGAAGCGTCTCAGCCGAGAGCAGAGCACTCCCCCCAAGTCTCCTCAGTGAAAACCGTACGTCTGGGAGGGGCCGCAGAGCGCTGTGTTAACCACAAACGACACTCAGTGCGAGGGCGAGCCGCTGGTTAGGAGCTTGCAGTGTCTGAGGCCTGTGGGATCCTCAAGTTGGTTTTCTTCTGTGAGTTGGATTCTCCCCCTCTTGAAAAAAAATCGATTTTTCAGGATTTAATTAATACAAACCTTATTTTAGGTTGGTGCTTAACTGGAGGTGATGCATAAGTCTGATTTTTTTTTCCAAGATAGAAAAAGCATTTATCCTAACAAATTGGTATTTTTTATTAAGCCTCCATGTGGCTCTGAATGCAAGCTATATATAGTGAGTTTTTCTAAATTAAGGGAACTCTGCTACTTTTTTTTTTTTAGTAACTGGTCTGCAAGTGCATATCTCTAGAATGTCCCCGCAGATGAATGAGGGCCAGTGGCCTTGGCAGAGGCAGGTGTGGCCTCGTAGAGGCAGTGCTGGCCGCGCCAGGGCAACGGCGCTGATGTGGGAGCTGTGCTTCTACCTAAGCCGTTGGTAGGGGACTCTGGCATTTAAGAATGTAGAGAGCGCGTCCTTTTTGATCTCCTGGGCAGAGTGAACCTGCAGGGGCCACCCCAGAGAGACCTGAAACCTTGGTTCTGATGCACTGCAAGCAAGTAACCAGCTTCTCACTCCAGTTTCAAGTGGCTATTATGTAATATAAATTGAAAGCACATTGTGAATAGAACCTAAATGAAAACATACACTTGGTTGCCCACTGACATGTTACCAGAAGTTGTACCATGATGTTGATTTGACCCCTGTGAGCTGACGGCCCCAGCCCTGCTCTGTGCACATTTCTGTCCGTGTTCCCCAGCACTCTGGTTGGAGAGAGTCCACATCTTCAGCTCCGTGTGGACATCTTCCCGTACCTCTGCATCAGCACATGGATTTCAGAGTTACGTAATCGTGAGAGAATGGTGTTTGTGGTTTTCCCCCTCTTTGGCTGGTGGAGGATAAAGTTCCTGCTCTTTTACCTCCAAGACGAGGGCCTCATTGATTCACTTCCAGAAGTGCTGCACTTCTGAAGAACAAGGATGCACTAAAGGTAGCAAGTTTATAATAAAGTTAAATATAAATTATTTTGTTTTAAAATGCCTCAAATTTTTCTTTAAGTATTCTAAGCAGCAAACATTAAAATAAGAATATTTCCTGCTACATGTAACCATACACTTTATTCCACAAAATGTTATTTAACAAGACTGAGGGTTTTTTTTAAGAAAAAAATTATTTCCATCCAATATTTAAAGACTTGAATTTTATTTAAACTTGAAAATGACTTTGCCTTAACTTTTGTATAAGACAGCTTAGAGTCCATGGAGCCCGGCCCTGGGTTGGCGTGAGTGGGTCAGAGTTACTCAGTTCCTGTGTGGATCTCCTGTCGCTGGTTTTACTGAGTAAGCAGAGTGTAGTACAAGAGCTAGCAGTAGTTTTTGTAATATACCTTAAAGATCTTCAACAGTTGATCTTTTTTCAGAATGTTGGGAAATCCTGTAAATGCAAATAGTCAATACTGTATTAAATACGTGCACTCGGAGTGTGCTTCGCTTGTACAGTTGTAAATAATCAGAACATATGGAAAAGGTACCTACAGAGAAAATTCTGATACAAATTATTGATATATTATAAATGTTGCTGTTGAGCTGGATGTAGATAAACTAAATGTTGTGGTTTGAATATTATTTTGATTTGTTGAGATTTTCTTTTTTCTCTTACATCGGTGTGTTGAACTGATTCTGCCTCTTTGCTGCAAAAGGGAATTGGAAAGTCTTATTAAAAGCCTCCAGATGTTTTCATACTCTTTTAAAATGTATGTAAATGCATACTAATCATATCTAACGTGAAAGAGTTTTAAAGTATGTAGAGAGCAAAAACTGGCAGGATCATAAGTGGAGGTGAAAAGTAATCTAATTAAAATCACTTGCAGCTAAGCATGATTTACCTGCCAGAGGAAAACATGCCTGGCATTTTTGACCATTTCCTTTAAAGCAGTTGCTATTATTCAAATACAGAGAAACAGCCACAGGGCTAGTGTTTTTCAAATGCATTTTAAAGAAACATGGGGATTTATTTTTTTGTAGTTGTCAGTTCACTGACCAAAAAAAAAAGAAAAAAAAAAATCAGAAATAATTGATCTCTGAAACCCAAACTCTCAATATTCTAAAAGCTGGGAGGCAACCCCAAGGCCTGGCTACGAGGTGCATCTTCGCTACAGAAGGACCAGGGGCGCCATCAGCCATTCCCAAATCACAAGGCCTGCGCCTCCGCCAGTGAGTCCTTGGTTTTTAATAATGAGAAGTCCTTTCCCCCAAGGTGTGAGCATTGCAGCGCAGTGTGTGTGTGTGGTTCGAGCCAGCTTAGTCCTTCACTTTGTTTGTCGGCTGAAGTGTGAGCTCAACAGCTGCGTGAAGAGGGCAGCGCGTGCGGTAGCCAGTCGCCACTGGAGGGCTCTGCTGCCATCCGGTCAATACACTGTAGTTACTGCCTAGCCAGCAGCAGTCTTTTGCATCAAGAGCAGAAACCTTGCTCGGATGCGATTTTTATAGCATCCTTTTTAATTAAACAAAGGTGAAACACAGATAGCTATATAATGTCCAGAAACCCCTGATACTATTTTGAAAGTGTCCACTCAGAAGAAAATGAGAGTTACCATAATGGGAAGCTGTGGTGGTCCATGCCGACTAGGCTGTGTCACGTACAGCGATGAGAGTGGCTTTCATGCTTTTTTTTTAAGTTAACACCCTCCTTTACCCCCAGCAGTATCTCAGGTTATAGAATCAGAGATGCAGCAGCGACAAATGGCATTTTAACTTGTAAAATCGTGTGATGATGCTTATCATTTTGAAATAGAAGAATAAAAACCTGGCCCCGTTTCACCAGACATGAATTTCAAGTGGAGTCGTCGTTCTCTGAGAGCGAGTGTCTTGACATTTCCACCCAGGCCCTCCTGTCATCACATCACCGGCTGTCAGTGGCGGGTGGCAGTAAACGTCCTGCGTTGCTGTATTAGGATCTCTGCAGTTCAGGCTTAACAACCAGTTCAGTGTATCCGGGCGACGGGTAGCGGTGGTGCATGCCTGTCTGCGTGCCCCGCTGGCGAGCTGTAGTTGTGACTTGCGTGCCTCGCGGCCCCCTACCGGGTTGCAGACAATCGAGGCGAGGGCACTGGCTGCCGGCAGTCCACAGTGGGGCCACGTGGAACGCTCCTTGAGGGTTTCGTTTTGTTCTGCTTCTTTTCATTAAGACTGGAATCAAGCTTACATGTAAACTATTGGTAATTTAAGTTTCCTTTGGTGTCATTCAGTGTAAAACTGTCTAATTTGAAAAAAAAAAATGTAGGTTATGAAAATAAAGATTTAGGCACTGTTCAATTTTTCTTTTGATTTTTTTTAAATTAAAATTTCTTCAAGAATGCATCTTTTCTAAACATAGTTTTTTGTCTGTTCCCATAAGTGTGCATGAGAAAGAAACGCGGGCCTCATTGGATCCTAAAGGCTTCTCACCCACGTGGGGGCTGGCTGCGGCACACGGGGCTCACCCTTTGTGTTTTAGGGGTTCAAAGTGAGCATTAACACCAAGTGCTCATGGGGAGAGGGTCGTTACCATGACTGCCAAGATTTACCGCAAAAATAGATGTTCCTGTGTCAGGACTTTGATTTTGTTAAAATGGCACCGTCTCCAAAGCTGTGTCCATAAAGCCGTTTGGAGCTGACGCTGAGTCCTCACGGTGATGGACTGACTCAGCCTGAGGCAGCAGTGATGTCTGCACTAGGAAGAGGCTGGCGGGAGGCGGGGCCCCTCCTGTGCCAGGCACCGAGTGGATGGGGGACTGATTCAGATGTTGGTGCCTTCCTCCTTTGTGCATTGCCTTTTCATGTCGTCTTCCCATTTTTACTCTTTTTCTGATGGAATTGATATTCTTGATCTGTTCAGGCTATTAAGCCTTTGTTATATATGTTACAAATATTTTCTTTCCGTCTACCAGTTGTCTTAACTCTTAACATTATTTAGAATAGTGTCTTTTACAGTGTTTAATTATTATGTAGTAAAATTTATCAATCTTCTCCTTTGTTGTTTGCGTGTCTTGGACTTAAGAAGGTTTTTTCCCTACTCCAGAGTCATAAAGTTAATAGTGTGTGTGTGCGCCTTTAATCCAGCTGGGCCTAATCATGTGTGTGTGGTGTGTGTGCTTAGGCAGGAACCCAATTTTACTTTATGCCGTGTGGAAAGTGTCTTTTTCCAGTATCACCAGTGAGTTCACTGTCTCTCCACTGGTCTGCAGTGCTGCTTCTGTTACTTGCAGACTTCACACGTGTTCATGGGGTCTCCACCTGGGGTCTCTCGGGTCTCTATCCTACACTGCCTATTTCCCTTTCTGTCCTAACACCATAGCGTTTAACTCACCTGGCATCCTGTGTTGCTGAGAATTTCCTTCATAGAACTCATTGCAGTGTGATCAACTGTGCTCCCTGAGGGCAGGAATTATGCCATCTGAATCACCAGCTTCTCCCTTGTCCTCAGCACGCCATCTGCAAATTAGCAGATACTCGGTAAATGTGTATTAACTCCAAGTGTATTTTGTGCCTTCTCTGTGCACAGCCCTGCCCTGGGAAGAACTAGGATGAGGTATTGATTTGCTATTGCCACCTAACAAATCCTGCCAGAACCCCCTGGATGGAAGTGACCACCGTGTGTCTGTGGATTGTCTGTGGATTGTCTGTGGATTGTCTCCAGGGCTCTGCTGGGGTCAGCAGGTCCCACAAGAGAGCCAGGGCTCGGTCTCCTCATGGCTGTTCGAGATGTGCAAGACCCCAACCCTAAAGATTTATGTATTCCGCCCCCACCCCCGACACTTTGAAATTGTTGTATTCCGTTCTTTGCTATATCTACATATTTTAATAATGCAGAAATCCCATGTTTCTCTAAAGCATTGGATTGAACCAACGGAAGGAGTGCGTTGTCGCTGGTTGTTGCAGGTGTGTTGCTTGTTGCTCGTGTGTTGCTTGTTGCTCATGTGTCGCTCGTTGCTCATGTGTCGCTTGTGTGTTGCTCGTGTGTCGCTCGTTCGTGTGTTGCTCGTTGCTTGTGTGTCGCTCGTTGTTCATGTTGCTCGTGTGTGGCTCGTTGCTCGTGTTGCTTGTGTGTGGCTCGTGTGTCGCTCGTGTGTCACTCGTTTGTGTTGCTCGTGTGTGGCTCGTTGCTTGTGTGTCGCTCTTTCGTGTGTTGCTCGTGTTGCTTGTGTGTGGCTCATGTGTTGCTCTTTCGTGTGTTGCTCGTTGCTCGTGTTGCTTGTGTGTGGCTCGTGTGTCGCTCGTGTGTCACTCATTTGTGTTGCTCGTGTGTCGCTCGTTGCTCGTGTGTTGCTTGTGTGTTGCTGGGCCTGCTGGGGCACAAGCCGTTTCCAATCCAAGTCAGCTGCTGGTCTGCTTAGACAAAGGTGTGTGGGTGTCTCCACCATGTAGAGGAGGGACAGCAGGTGATGCCGTAGGCCAGGAAGGAAGGGCACAGCCTAAGCGTGCGGTGGCTTAGCCAGAGACCCTCGTGCGCCAGCCTTCAGGTGCTTACGGAACTTGTGTCAGCCCAGGCCATAGCCAAGTGTGTGATGTCTTGGAGCATCTATGCCAGGCCAGCCAGAGAGGCTAAGCCCTGCCCTAGTGGAGCTGGAGGGCAGGAGGTTATGAAGAGGATCCTGATGCAGGCAGGGTCACCCTGCAGGCATGAGCCTGGGAGCACAGGCTGAGCAGCTCCACCCAGAGGGGCTTGCAGGACCAAGCTGGGACAGCAACCACCAGGCCCGGGGGCGGATCAGTGAGCGTCCGGGAGATGGAGATGCAGAAGAGAGCCAAATTCATTCGCCTCTGCGTGGGCCTGGGAGGGCCTACAGAGATGCAGTTTCATCCACGACCAGGATTTCCTCAGCTGGAGCAGCCGCTTTTCCCAGCTAAAGCTCACTGTGTGTATACTGCATAGAATGTGAGTGTACAGAAAGGCTCTCTCTAACGTTAGCTACTCGTGCAGAAATGTAGGGAGCTTACAAGTGTGGGCAGCCGCAGTCTGTTCCTCACCCCCGTCCTGACAGGACGTACTCTGCGCGTGCACGTTTAGGGTCACCATGTCTTCCTGTTGGACTGATCTGTCATTAGGACCCTGGACCGTAGTAATTGTCTTTGAAGTTTCACTTTGATGGTAACAAAGCCATTGCAGCTCTTTCCTTTTCACTCCTGTCGGTGTGATGTGCCGTTTTTCATCCTTTGACTTTTCAGCCCGCCTGTACCCTATCTGAAGGGAGCTGCTTGTGGACAGCACGGAGCGGTGGGTGTTTGTAATCCGCTCTGCCAGCCTCCGTCTTCTAACTGTTGCGTATGGACCAATTACATCTGCCCTTTTGCTGTTTCCTGCTGCTCTGTTTCTTTTTTCCCTTTGCCTTCCTGGGGATTGTAATTTGCCAGTTCTCAGTCCTCTGGTGCTCTCAGCTCCCAGCTGACCTTCTCCTGCTGCTGTGTCTCCCCTTTCCTGAGGCCAGCGGGGGCAGTGCCCTCTTCAGTGTCTGCACTTTGCTACCGGGTAGTGTCTTCCAGGCCCGCACCTTCCGTACCAGCTGAAATGCATCAGCCTGGCAGCACAGAGGCCCCAGTCTGGGCCCGGCGGCAGGTGCGACGTGCGGTCGCCTGCAGAGGAAGGCAGAGCTCCATGCTGCTGTCGGGCGGGCCGTGCCGCCATGGTGGCAGCGTGCTTGGCAGGCAGCAGGAGCGCGTGGCAGCCGGGGGATTGCAGCCAGACATCTTAACCTCGGGGTGGGAGTGGGGAGACAAGGGTTTCTTTTTGTGTAGCTTTGGGAATAAAAAATTTGCCAGTAAATTTCACATCTTATTGGCCAGATTTAGCACCCAAACACCATCACGGGGAAGGGGCTTTCAGGCCAGTGAGGTCCATCCTGGGCTCGGGGGTGGGGTCAGCTCCCCCAAGGTGCATGGTGACAGGAGAGGTGGGTCCCTGAAAAAAATGGGGGCCATTAAGAAAGAAGGGGTAATACATCCACTCAGTACATTCGAGCTCCACAGCCTCCAGCCCATGTCTCACTGTGTCCTTGGCGTGGCCACCTGCGGTCAGTCCATATCTCAGATGGGACCACCCACCCTCTGGCCTGGATCCTCCTGCTCCTCACAGGAACCCGATCTCCACAGGCAGCCCCCAGGCAGACAGGCACGCCCAAATCCTGGGCCAGCCTTGCTGCTTCCCCAGGTCCCTCCGAGAGTCCTGCCCACTCTTGCCTCCGCCTTGTCCAGCCCGGCCATCTCGTCCCTGTTCTCCCCTCAGCCCAAGGGTTCCTTTGTGGTAGTGACCGCGCCCTGTTCCCTTGCTTTAAACCTCCAATGGTCTCCTGCAGGAAGGAATAAGGTTTAGATGCGTACCTGCAAGTCACTCCCTAACCCACCTGCAGCTTCATCTCTGACCCCACACTCTCCGCCCACACTGCCTGGGACCTGCTGGCCCCTTCCCGTGGAATTTCTCCCACTTTTCGCAGAATATTTCTCCCTTCCCAGGGATGCCTGGCGCCCTCTCAGACAGCCGCCTGTCACCTTCCTCCGTCCCTGGCTGCTTCTGCAGCACTGAGCACCCTTTGTAGTCGTCTAATTGGTCTGCTTCCGGCGTGAGCTCCGTGGGCCTGGCAGCCGCGAATGCCCTTCCCCTGGGTACCTGCAGCACCCCCTGCGCAGGGGACGCTCCGGGGTCCATTCCTAGCCCGGTGTCCAGACGCTGTGGACAGGTGCCAGAAGCAGCTCCGCAGAGGCCTGGCTCAGCCCGTGCAGGTGGAAGTCCTCCCGGCTTGCGCGCTCCTCCCCTCCCTGCGTGGGGTGGCCTCACCACGTGCACCTGACGCGTCTGTGCCGGCCTCTCCCGCCATCGCTGCTTGCGCCCTGGATCCCTGTCCACCTTTCTCCACGCAGCAGCCCCGGGGGTCCTTTTAGGGAGGCACCCGCGCACCTCGCTCAGAGCAGAGACCAGAGTCCAGGCGGCTGGCCGGAGGTTGGGCCCCGCACCCTCAGCGTCCCCTGCACCCTGCGGGCTCCCCACGCGCCCTCGGCCTCCAGCCGCCCCTCCAAGGCCCTGGAGCTGCCTCCTAGGAAGTAACCTGGAGGGAGAGGTCAGGAGGGATGGGAAGAGCCCCGAGCCACGTGGGAGATGGGGGAGGGCAGGAAGGAAACCAGGGTGGAGCTCACCTGGGTTCGTGGTGTTGACACTGCAAGCTGGGGAGGTGGGGAGAGAGGAGCCCGGGAGAGGAGAGGCAGGGTTCCTCTTTAGCCAGAGGAGCCCAAAGTGACGGGAGGATGTGGCCCCAGCCAGGGTTCAGGGGCTCCAGCCACGCTGC